GAAACCATCTGATTGCAAATGCCTCATATGTGTATATGTCGGCTCTCTTCCATGTTCGGCTACAGCCAAATGCCAGGGAAACACCTCCTTGGCTGGACTTTAGAATATTCCATTGTATTTATTACTAGAGCTTCTTCAAGACTAATTTCTCATTCAACTCATGTCAGGTGGCTGTAAATGTGTTAGTTTGGTTGCCAATACTAAATACTGTTAACCAAGAAAAAAATAAATAAAATGCAGTTTAACCTTGTTACTTGTTACCAAAAAATGCAATGAGGCCTTATGAGATGTGCTCTGAGCTGGTTATTGACTTCTGTTCAGTGTCTGGTACCAGTTAGTCCCTGAATTGTCAGGCTTGCTGTACTAATCATGGTTATTCATTTGCAGACAATAGGGCCAGTGATAGAATGCCTAGAAGCTAAGCAAAGGGAATAGTAAACATTTGTTCTAGACAATGCCTAGAAATTGATCTAATAGGCAGCCTTAACAACAGCTAACATTTGTCTGGGTAGTGGAAAAAAATATAAATTTTTGGAGTCAAATGGGCCTAGCTTTGCAACTTACATGGTAATATGATATGGACAAATAATTTAACCTCTCTAGGCCTCAATTTCCTCCTGTATGAAATGGTGAGACTAGCACTTAGCTTTCAGGGTGTTATAAGATTTAAACATAGTATAGGTAATTTTCCCAACATCATGTCTATCACATTATATGCCACCAACAAGTAATATTTGTAGAAATTATTGTTTTCTAAAATCCAGGACAGTGTTGATTATTAATGCTCCATTAATTTAGTAAAAGCTTTTTGTAGGAAAAAATTAATAAACAACAAGAGCTAACAATTTAAAACGCAGAAAAACCTCATTGTTACATTAATTACACCCATTTAAGGCAAGAATGAAAAAATTACTTTTAGATTTGAGAAATTCAGTATTACATATGGCTATTCCCTCCTGTCAGCCTTAAATAAACTTCAGGGATATTGCTCCACTATTCATAAATGTGGGATACTTTCTTCTATGGGTCACCATTATGGCCCATTTAGAATGTTTTAACTTTGCTGTAAGCACTGGGCTCATTTTCTAAGTTCATACTATCCCAGTTGATTTGTGATAGAATCAACCTGGCAATGAGACTATGACAGAGCACGCTAGGAAAAGTAACTGACTGAAGGAAATAAAGTAGAAAGATAAATTCAAAGAACTGAGAGGTGAAGTTGAAAGAAATGAGAAAGAAGATTAAAACAAGACCAGTGTAGAAGTACCCAAAGAATGCATGAATAGTGAACAACAGTAATGTATCTTGTGATTTATGACCTTTTAAAAAGTAACAGATAATGAGGGCATTGGAGACTGTGCATGGTGAGGCAGAGATACAGAAATATTGGCTGGGAGGGTAGAGAACATGGGAATAGTGGCTGAGGTTGAAGTTGCCAGAATGAAATATTCTGGAGCAAGTCAAAGGATGGGAGGTAAATTATTTCTTTATTATAATTTCCATTCCAATAGTATCTTCTTCCACATTTCAAGCAAAGCTAAGGGAGACTGGAGCAGGGACTCATGCCCTCATTTGGAAATCACCTAGAAAATGCCAACCATGCTTCAGCTCTGAGGTTCATACTTACAGAAACTTACATGACTAGACTCTAACAACAGAAACTCAGAACTGCCTGGTCCATACAGAAGAAACTTGCCATGTGACTTGTTCCAGAAAAGTTACCTTAAATAATTTCAGAAACATGACACAAGTGAGTGATGTCACCCTAGGAACAAGAAACACTAAACTTCCTCTCAAAACAAATTCCAGAAGAAGAGAAACATCAGCCTTCTACTCTGGATGGAAATAACCCCAATACTTCTGGTTTCTTTCTTCCACTCTTCACAACATCTTTTGTTTATTTTCTCCTCTGGATAAATCTCACATCTGTTTCCATCAGACCTTCCAGTGGACGACCTTGTCTCCTTCTTTTTAGAGTAAATAAAAGTCACCAGACAGGAACTTCCTTGACTTCCTGCTATCAAAAGGATGAATATACCTGTATCTATACCCATTTTTTTCCTCTTTCATGCTGTTACAGTGAAAGAGGTGACCCTCTGCTTTATCCAAGATAAATCCCTCCACCTGTGCATGGTCTATCACTCCTGTCCTCCCAGAGACCTTGTTATATAAATTCTCTTTCTCCTGCCCCTTAAATTTCCCTTTCCACGGATTCTTAGCACTTAAACATGATCATGTAACAGATATCCAGAAGCTAACTCAACATTCCCCTTAAGAGGTCTCAGACATCTCTAACTAAACACATCCAAAAGTGAATTCATCCTTTGCTGCCCGCTCCATGAACTTAACTACCCCTACTCCCATCCCTCAATTTCTCAATCTCAGGGAAATGGCTCCATAACCCAACCAAATGTCTAGCTGGAAGTCTGGAAATTATCCCTGATTCCTCCTTTCTGCTGATTCCCTGTAGCCAATAGATCAACAAATCTCATTGGACCTATCTTCAAAATATATTCTGTGACCAACCACTTCTCTCCATCTCCATTTCCACACATTGGTTTCTCTTGCATGGATGGTTATAATTGACCACCAGCTGATTTCCCCATCATCAGTGTAGATCTTTACTAATCTCTCCTCCATACTGCAGATGGAAGGATCTTTAAAAAATCCAAATATGATCATGCCATTCTCCTACTCACCTTTAAAACAATGGTTTCTCATTGCCCTTCAGATAAAGTCCATACTCCTTAATATAGCTTACAATACTGTTCATGAGCTATTCCTACCGACCTTTTGGTCTCATCTCTTGTCTCATTCAATACTTCAGTCATTCTAAATGTCTTTTAACTTTTCTTGATTACCATCTTCCCACCCACACTTGGCCTAGCTAAAACTCCTCTGGCTCCTAGACTGTATTAGTGCCCTGCACCTTCATAGGATACTTTATGGTAATTACTTGTTTTATTCTTTGCTGGAGTATGAGAGCAAGAATTGTGTTTGTCCTGCTCACCAATTTATCCTTCTCTTTGCTTGTCTGCAACTTCCTCTACCAGTCACTCTAGTAGCTTGCTTGGTATCTGGTGTCTAATAGATCCTCAGTAAGTATTTGTCAAATAAATTGTCTTTCATAGTTTTGTCATTTCTCTTACTGAACTCAATAATCTTGATTCTCCTGTGGAGTCTCAGAGGATATAATGACAGCACTTTTAAAATCTCATGTCTGTGGTAAGAAAGTAAGATTAAGCTTGAGTGTTGCCAGAATAACAAATGCTATGACACCCTAGTTGTTAATCCTTAAAGTGTAAAGGTTTGTAATAATTATCACTCATTTTAACAAAGGATTTAGGCATTTAGAGAAACCCCATGTCTCCATACGAAGGTCATATGAGTGTAAGAACATACACATGGTTATTTATCTCTAAAGACAATATCTGCCATTAGGAGGGAAGAGTATTCAAGAGTTTTTGTTTGTTTTTCCTTACAATAGAGATAGTGCTATAGACAAGACTATCTTTGGAAGTTCTAATATGGCCAATATAATTTCAAAACTATTTCTTGAATAGATATAATATTTCACCTTATACATTTTGCAATCCTAGAGCCAGGAGCAAACTTCGCTGTTATTTTGGTGTGTTTCCTAGACACTGTCTGGGAATTTAGTCTACAACATCTCTGACAGTCATTACCTTACTTTGGCTTGAGCACTTTCGGGAATGGGATTCCACTGCTGATGAGGCCACCTGCCCCACTACTAGATGCCCTAGTGTCACAGTATTTTTTTCTCCTATTTCCTTCTCCCTTCTCTAAACTAACATTTCTCTTTCTGTCACTTCTAAATGTTGATCTTCTACTTCACCTTAAGTCCTCAACTTAAAAGCCTTTAAATACTGGAAGAGAAGAGGAAGTGTGGACAAAGGGAGACACCTTCCCGAGCACACAGTGTTTTGCAGGATTGACAGTGGGTACATTTATGTTACCTCACTAACTTCTTAAACAATCTAGTAAAGTAAGTAGTGTTAATGGCGTTTTACTCAAAGTAGTAAAATTCTCCCCATTTGTCTATCTAATGTTGAAATCCAATTTTTAAAAACTTCTAAATGTTCTGAGTCAAGAGCCTGGGATGCTAATTAAGATTTGTTCGTGTATAGTTGCATGGAATTGGCTCCTTTTCACTATTTCTAACATTGAAAGCATAGTTCTTATTGTCCTAGGCAACCTCACAATGTTTTTGAGTCTTCACCAGTCACGTTAATGGTCTTTTTTGCTGCATGAAGACATCATGGCCTTTGGAAATCACACCCAGCAGAACTCTGTTGCCCTTTTGAAGTGAGACCTTCTCTCTTAGAAATAATTCAAGCCCTGGGGAAATTTTGGCTTATTGCGTCCTTTTCAGATTTGTGAGAAAATGTTTATGCTGAGGGGCAATAATTTTCTGTGCAGCCGGAGCGTACCTATCAACACAAAAGCAACTCCTAAGCCATCAAGAGACTAAACAACCTGGACTAAAATAACATTGACATTCTTGTTGAGACAGTCAGCAGTGATTTAGAGTCAGAGCTTGATGATCACCACAACAAATTGTTTTAGAGATTTATTAACTTTCCAAAGTCAGTGTTTGGAAATCCACCCGTAGAAGTATATTTGGACTAAAATAGTATTTTACACTATGTGTATAAATTTTGGTTTGGTCACACATTGTTTTTAATAAGCTGAATGTTTTAAAAACAATTTGATCTTAAAAATATCATGGCACCAAATAACTACTTCAAATGTATTCTCTTTTTAACTAATTTTGTGGGTGACGTTTAGACAAAAACCACTTATAATTGAAGGGTTTTGGAAATGCTTTAAAACAATGTGGATTATTCAGTGTTTCTATTATTTAACTCTGGGGATTTCTTTCTGTTCTTTTATCAGGTTCTCCAAAGTACTTATTATTCGAGTTGGGTAAACCAGTTCAGCAGACTGAGTCCCCAATGCATTTTCCAGTGATGATAACTGCCCTTAAAATTCTTTCAGACCTGGATATCTACCTGTGTGAGACCAATAAGTAAGTGTTTCTTTAAACTATTTTAGATTATGTAAGAAACTCACCAAAATAATTATGCCAGAAAAACTAAAAGAAACATGTCATGGTATTAACAAGAGTCCTTTGGATGATGAGATGATGGGTAAATTTTTTTTCTTTCCTTTTTCATTACTGCCATATTTTAAATGATGAATGTATATTGCCTTTGCAATAAAGAAGCTATACTTTTGAAAAAGCAGTTGTAGATACAATAATATCCACACATATGAAATGAGATCTCAGGTACATATGTAGGTGACAGAATGCTAAGCAGAGACACAGACACATCTACTGATTGAAGAAACAGATTGCAACTGGAGAGGCCCACTTGGCTCTCAGGTACTGGCTTCTTTACAGATCACAAATATAACTCCAAACATGGTGACAGGTTATTTCTAACCTCTTGTGGAAATTCAATATCTTCCCCAAACAAATTAGCTGAATAATTTTGGGTTTGACCTGAGAATTAGTTTAGTTAATCTAGGTTGTTTGGTTCTAAGTAATACATTTACTATTCAGTAACAAGAATTAACAAGATAAAAAAAATGCCTGTTTATACAGGAAGGTAATCAAACCTGTCAATTGTCCATTGTTGACTTTTCTTGGGATTGACAGAATTTATGTTAAGGAAATCAGAGAAATGCTGCCCCAAAATGTCCTGGAAGAGGTACCAAGTTCTTATTATGGATAGAGTATAGGCAGATCCTATCACATCTAGAAGGCTAGCAGAAAGTCTAGAAAACTTCTGTCCCAGTGATGTTTACTAAAAGCTAGTTTAAATAAGTAAAACAAACTAAAAAACAATCCCTTAAAATTTTATAGTATCCACTCATACAAATATATACATATTCAAAGACAAACTTTTTACCATTTTTATTTTATTCTTTCTTTATCCATCCATCCACTCATTCATGAGTTTAGCTAATTCTTTTTTGGGTATCTTCTATATGAGAGGCAAAAATCTTAGCAGTTGGGCAGTACACCAGAGAACTAACACAAAAATTCCTGCATTCATGGAGCTTATGTTCATAGTGCTAGAAAGATTAAAAAGTAAATAAACAAGTAAAATATAGAGTATGTCGAATGGGGATACGTGTTATGAGGAAAAATAAATCCAGTAAGAGAGGTAGGGCATGCCAGTTGGGAGGTGGGCTTGGAGGGAGAGTGTTGTTTTAAATTATGGTGGTCGGGAAAGGCCTTACCAATAAGGTGACTTGGTTAAGAGATGTAAGAGTTGGTTGTAGACAGCTTTAATATTCCCCTTCCAGAAGTGGGACAGCATTGACCCAGTGTTTCCGTTATTTTTATGACACATGAAATAATCTTTCTTTTGATGCTCTAAGAGTAGTACCTTTTGCACAAGAGTATGTTTCCACCTGACTTATACAGCTGGTGAACAGACTCATTCAGATGTCACTCTTCAGTGGTACCACTAAACTAATACAGCCACACATATGGACCTTAGTTATTTTTTCTATTCATTCACGTGTTTGCCTTCTGAAGTGGACTATGAGCCCATTGAAGGCAAGGATAAGACAATGATATGTTCATCTTGGCAGCCTCAGTGCCTTGCCTAGTGCCTAGCAATTGTCAGGTGCTCCATGACTACCAGTTGAACAGATAAACTTTGAGAGTAAAACCGACATTGACTTTAAACAGTTCAAGTGTGAATTCCCAATGGCCACGTTTACCTCCTAAACTATCCACAGTGGGTAACTGTCTTACATCATGGTGACCTCTCAATTTCTCTAAGCCTTATATGGAGCTGGCATCAAGGACTTGCTCTGTAAAATAAAATGATGGTATGTTTCCAACAGGGATGCTTTTGGTATAAGCATCTCTTAGAGGTTGTTTCTAATCCCACTTTCCCCATGACAGTGCTATAAAATGGGACAGCTGTCATGCCCACATTTTTCTACTACCTCTGTGACAGATAATCTTTTTCTGAGATGGTGTGGAGTGCCATTTTTCACACAAGATTAGGGGGCAAAATTATGACAGCCTTATGATATCCCCACTTGGGAAAGCAATAAAAGGGAAACCAAAAACTTTATTTTATAATGGAGTCCTGATTCAAGGCCATAATAATTGTATGGTTTTGGACCAGTTGCTGAATCTGTGTGAATCCCATGACCTTGTCTGTAAACTGGAAATAATAATCTACCTTACAGTATCGTTATGAAGATCAAGTTGTATAATATATGCAAAGCATTTGGTGTACATAATGTGGATGTTCAATAGATTATTGTTAATATTTTGCTACCATTAATAATACTGTTACTGTTAGAGAAGTTATGCAAATAAGATTTGTTTTTACCAGTTGTTGAACATTTACATGATCCCTGAGGATAACGCTCATCAATATATTTGCTCTTTAAAGTTATCTCCCTCTATATACTTGTAATAATATTAAACCAAGTAATGCTTATAACAATGTACTCTTGAATGTCTTTATCAGTGTAACATGTAACAATGTAACATGTTGTATCAAAAAAATTTTTCAGCTGCTAAATGGGATAGTATTTAATAGGGAACGTTTCCGTGGTTTCAGAGCATCATACATGCTAAGGAACAGATTAGCAGGCATTTCGCCATCATGGTGGTTCACACAATCGCTGTCACTTTGATGCTTTTCTTGCAGAAATATAGTCAGTGGAAGTCATTATCTTTTCAGGTAGGAAATTCATGCTTTAACGGATAGCAGAACTCTAGTCTGATATTTTTTTCTTCTTGTTTCTTTAGAGTCTTGAGACTCTAGGACAGAGACCACCACTAGGCACAAACATCACCTGTTTGCATGATTATGGAGATGGTCTACATGATGTTGAAAATGCCCCTAGTTTTTTGACAACGGCTAAATAACCATGGGGTCAAGTGGACTTGGGAAAGCGGCAACATTAGATGAACTGCTGAGCACTTGCATTGAGATGTTTGGTATGAGCCTTTTCTCCCTTCTGTACATCTTGCTACTCTTACTTCCCCCTGTTCAGATGTAGGCGTTGCTGTGGAACAGAATTCAAATCTCCATACCTTGGTATTTAAGGTCTTTTTGATTGACCCCAATCTGTCTCCCCAGTATCACTGCCCTCTGCATTTCTTTCCCTTTACTGCCCACAGCTATACCCCAGCCATACTGTTCACCTAATGCTTCTGGAACATTCCCTGCATCTTTCTACCTCCATGCCTCTATCATATTACTTCACTGAAATTCTACTTCAGAGTTCATTTCAGATGTCACCCTAGATGTTCATAATATTATTCCTAATCTCCCCTGTCAGGAATGCTGGTTGCTTCCTCCACTCTCCCACAGACCGTTATGACTTTCTTATGGTACGTGGTATATGCTGCTCTGATAATTTCTTGGTCTTTTGGCTTAGACAAGAGTGAGTTGCTCAAGCTCCTGCATTCTGTCTTTGTGTATATGTCTTGTATCTCCTACTAGGTTGTAGACTTTACAGCTATATGCCTTTTATGTTGTTCATCTACCTCAGCATTTTGGATCATTCCTTGCACAAACAGAGTCACAAAGGAGCTGTTTGTGGAACTGATTGTTATAGGAAGAGTTAAACCAGACAGAGAAGGGTTGCCAGATAAAATACAGGATGCTCAGTTAAATTTGAATTGCAGATGACCCACATTTTTAGTATAAGTATGTCCTAAATAGTGCATGGGACATACATATACTAAAAAATTATTTGTGGTTTACTTAATTCAAATTTAACTGTGTTGTATATTTTTATTTGTGAAATTTGGCAACCTTACGTCAGAGGAAGGGTGAGACCTACCCACTTAATTTGCAAGGAAATACCAGCAGAAGTAGGAGGAAAATGATAATGGGGTCTACAAGAAAATTTTGACACTGATGTTTCTCTTCTGATATTAGAAAAAGAGAAAAGTAGTATGTACTGTCGTCTCCTCACCTCTCATTTTATTTTATTTTTTAACAGATGACAATGGAGAGCTGAATAATAGTTATTTGCCAAGAATAGTTCTACTTATGCACCGATGGTATTTATCTTCCACTGAGTTGGCAGAAAAACTTCTCTGCATATATCTTTTCAACTACTGTGTAATTTTTACAATCATAAATCAAGTTCTGTATTTAGATAGAGTGTCTAACCACAGCCAGTAAATTAAGATGAATAAACAGTCTTCAGTCGGTTATCCAGCTGTTTTGTGAATATATATACATGTCTAGACAAAACATCTGGATGACTGACCAAATAGTTAACTATCCATCTGGATGTTTTGGCTCTGCTTGGAAATAATCACTAGATATAAAATGAAACAGGAGCTGTAGACCGAATGTTTCTAACTTGTCTTAAATATTTCTGCTGTTAGTATAATGAAAGAATATTTAACACTGATTCAAGAGCTAATTTATTCCTTTTAGGAATGCAGAATGGTGGACCTAGAGGATACATTTTAGACATATGGAAATGCCAGCCAAAATAATATGATCTGGCTCAGGCATAAACACCACCTAAATTTTCACATCTTCCCTTGCTGGCAAGACACAAGGAATATTCTAGCAGGTTTATTACAATTTGTTAATTGATATTAATTTAAAATTTTCTTCTGATATAAAAGCAAAAAAAAAAATCCATAGTTAGAAATCCCGTTCTATAATAAGGGCTTTTAGCAGTCCACCACTTTTGTACACGGTACAGTCCTAAAAGGTAGTTAAAAGCCAAGTGACTGAAAATGGCTACAAAACAGTCACACATTTATATGGAGGTTTTATTCCCCGAGATCTAATGTTTATTATATAACCACTAATGTTGGTTCCTACAGTCTTTGCCGGCTGCAAGCCCAGGGGTCCTGCAGATGAGTGAGAAGCCTTGCAGGACAAGGGGAGCCTCAGAGGGAGAGGGTCCATTGAGTACTATTAGGGCCAGCGTGGCTTCCATCTGCTTACTTCAAGCTTCCTCCACTTTCTACTTCTTTCTTCCAACATGCCCCCAACCTCGGGGCAGAAGGGGATGTTAGAGAAGATAAGGGGACATTCACCCTGAACAGAGGTCCCTGGAAGTGAGTAAGATACTAGTACCCAGTGGTCCAAGGATTCCACAGGTCCCACTATTGAAGGGCAGTACATAGAGAAGGATGGAGGGAACTGACTCAGTCTGGTCCATCCCGCCTCAGGATCCAAACACTGTCCAAAAATGTGCCCACAAACAGCACCCTCATCATTAGTATGTCTGCTGCTATATGAAACACAAATAGAAAGGGATATTTAGGCACAGTAAAGTTTAATATCTGAAAGTACAGATTGTATGAAAGTTGAAACTGCCTATGAATTAACATTTCTTTAGATATTCCGCCCTTTGGATTCCTTGCTCACTGCATATCCATGGTGCCTGGCATATAGCAGGAGCTCAATATATGTTAGTTAAAAAGAGTATGACTAAATAGACTTGAAACTAAATCACAACACAACATGTGTATTAATATACCCAAAAATGACATTTTCAAATACTAAAGAAATTAGAGTACTTATATAAAGCATTAATCCTATATATAAAATCATTTTGGCTAAAATGGTGCTTTTATGTACTATTGATTTTAAATCATCTATAGCTGGTAGTATATTTGTAATTACAGTTGACAGTCATCACTTGGTAAGTGCTCAGGAAGGTAAAACTAATTTTATAAATGGCTTCTCTTCCAGACCAAAACAATACATCCCAGGGCAATAATACATTGTGTCAATTATTTAGCGCTGATGTCATCAGAACACACTTTTCTCTCCATTTGAAGGTACACATAACCCTAATATTCCTAGTACGGCCCTCTTATTAGGAATTCATCTAAATTGATCAAACAGCTGCAGGTCTGTGCAAAGGAAACAACATGCAAGGATTTTTCTTTAACTAGTGTACGTATCGAAATGCCAGTGGAGAAAGCTGTGATGAATTTCGATTAAAGATCTGTTACTTCATGAGGTAAATATTTACGAATTTTTTCTTGTAGTTTCTAGTTCTGTGATTGTTGACAGTTTCCTTTTCACCATACAACAGACCTAGTCTGACAATAGAATCGACTCAAGTCCCCCTTTTATTGATTTTATTAAAACTGGCCCTTCTCTATTCCTGGGAGTAGAATTCATCTTTCTTTTGGACTGTAGATCAAGCAGTGGTCAATGTGATTAGGGAATGAAAGCAGCTCTTAGAAAGAGTACATTCATTTTTTTCCTACTCCCTCACCATACACATTCCCACCTACTTGCCATGAATTGGGATAAGGGTTTCTTCTCAGCAGTGGTTCTGAAGAGAGAGAAAGGCTCAGGGTGGGAGTGGTGGATTTGAGTCCTTGATTAAAGGAGGGAAGAGGGAGACTCAATGTGATGGATGAGGGATGGGAGATTGCTAATTTGGCATGTGGTCTTGATGCATTGTTAAATGTAATCTGTAAAATGATACCATGGTTTCCATAGAGGTCTAGCTTGAAATCTTCCAGTTGTCAAAAATACTTGATGCCTTTCAGGTACTGGATTCTGAAGTTTCCCGCAGAGTTTAATTTGGACCTCGGTTTGATCCGTATGACTGAGGAATTCCGGGAAGTAGCTAGTCAACTAGGATATGAGAAACACGTCAGCCTCATCGACATATCCAGCATGTAAGAGTGGCACAAGCTTCTTTCAAAAAAGATGAGTCCACTGCTTGAGGGAGGGGGTAGTGATGACCCCATTTGACCTCCATCCATACCATTTCAGAATCAAGGTGTGCTTCTCTGAGGAAAGCTTTGATGCAATGAGCACAGTCCCATCGGACAGAGTTTCTCTCTCCAAGCTTCAATTTCTGTATTTGTAAAATGGGGATTGTACTTTCTCATGGAGTATTATGAGCATCCAATGAATACCTGAGATAATATGTGAAAGCATTTGGCACATAATAGATGCTCAGTACTTGGTTACTGAATCTAGTCCCCTCTACCCTTGCCACTCATAGTGTGGTCTGTGGATCAGCAGCATTGGCATCACCTGGGAGCTCAACAGAAATGCAGAATCTCAGGCCCCACCCTAAACCTGCTGAACTGGAAA